CGCGAATTTACAAATAGCGGTGGGCCAGATCCGAAGGGAAAGGATGACCCTCTTGTTTTATCCGCCAAATAAAATATAAAGGGCTTTATTTTACAACGGGCTAAATAAATAGGCTTTTCTAATGTCATCGATAAAAAATGTTGAAAACTGTTTTTTATATTTTTTGTCCCTTACATGTTCGAGCAAATAAGCCAATGTCCTGATTGACACCAAATGCGGGGTCAATCGGGACACCTCTAAAAATAATATTTTTGCGTTTACAATAAAAGCTAAAAACTCGCACGAAGCATTTTTTAAAAGTAGAAACAAAAATTCTTGATTTATCTTATTTCGGTAAAAAGATATTAGGAAAATAACTGATTCGCCCCGTTTAACGAGTGTGCGAAGTGCAAAGTATACGAAAAAAGAAGACTGGTTTTTAAACTGAAATTAGGGGATATAGTGAAGAAGGTTAAAGTTACGAAATACATCAGTAATTTGATAATTTCAGAATGGTGTGTTATTTAATTGTGTGTATGTTATTTTTGTGTTTAGTTTCCAACAAATACTTTTGTTACTGGGTTTTGTAAAAATAAGGTCCTTTTTAAAAATTACAAGAATTATAGTTAAATTATTGATATAGGATTTCGTTATTAAATCTACAAAATGTTTGTTTTAATTACAAACTACGTATTCAATTATTTAATAGATTACAGTTGGTTGTAAACTTAACATAAAGTTATGTGGACCTGGATTACCATAAAATCTGGTTAATATTTGGTTAATACAAATATTTTTTTACTGTGTAATATAAAGAACCTTTTTGATAAATAAATAAAAATATGATCAAAATATAATTTGTTAAAAATGGCGAATGCACCAGGATGTTTTCAACATATTACATATATGTATACATTAGGGTGCGACATTTTTTTTTCGAAAAAAATATTCTTACTGTACAAGCGGAAGGAGAAAAGAATAAAACATTGTTTTTTAATGGTTTTTAAAGGGAAATATTTAAAAATTGAATAGCAAAGGCTTAAAATAAAGATTAAGAGCTTTGTAACAGCTAAAAATTTTTGTTTTCTGACCGGTTAGATTTTCAGGTGGGACTTTAAAAAAAAATGTCGCTCTAAAATGAAGCACCCTAGTATACATATACATATGTATATATATATATATATATATATATATACAGGGTGTCCGGGAAAAGGAGGTCAATCCGTTAACCATATATTCTTTGAGTTAAAACAATAAGACTTTCATAATACCATTTTTCAATTTAGAGCTTCATGTTCGATATACAGGGCGACAAAGTTTGAAATTTAAAACTGATTTTTTTTAATAATTCAAGTAATTGATAAGATATTAAGTTGAAATTCGGTACACTACTTCAACATAAATAGTTACATTTTTTGAGACCAACAAAACAAAAAACAATTGTCAAATAATCAAAATAGGGGGGTCCAGTACTCACTGCCTCCCCCTATTTTTTAGTACGTGCGCCATTGACTTCCAAACGGTACTTTTTCAGGTAATCATTTATTGTTGAAAATTTTTTGCCTCTTATAAAATTTTGATAAAATGATTTGTTTTAGAGATAATTTGTAAAGTATGGGTCAATCCATATCAAATTTTTGAAATTTAATTTTTTTTTTGAAAAAATTTAGGTCATGTGATATATCATAAAAAAGGTCTCTAATAGGCCATTAAAATAAGCCATAACTCACCTTTCTACTTTTAATAGTTTACGAGATATCGCTATTTTTGTAAATACCCAAATTTATCGGAATTTTTTTATTTTCAAAAATCAATAAAACAAAAACCACCCTACGAAAAAAATTCATATATGGGATTTTTAAGTTTTTTAGTGAGGTTAACAAATTTACCAAAAAATATTAAAATCGGAGATGGTGGGGGAAGAACCTTTGGTTGATTTGATATGGACTGACCCATACTTTACAAATTATCTCTAAAACAAATCATTTTATCAAAATTTTATAAGAGACAAATTTTTTGTAACAATAAATGATTACCTGAAAAAATACCGTTTGGAAGTCATTGGCGCACGTACTAAAAATAGGGGGAGTCAGTGAATACTGGACCCCCCCTATTTTGATTATTTGACAATTGTTTTTTGTTTTGTTGGTCTCAAAAAATGTAACTATTTATGTTGAAGTAGTGTACCGAATTTGAACTTAATATCTTATTAATTACTCGAATTATTAAAAAAAATCAGTTTTAAATTTCAAACTTTGTCGCCCTGTATATCGAACATGAAGCTCTAAATTGAAAAATGGTATTATGAAAGTCTTGTTTTAACTCAAAGAATATATGGTTAACGGATTGAAAAGAATATATGGTTAACGGATTGACCTCCTTTTTCCGGACACCCTGGTATATATATGTATATAATAATAATTATAATATTTATTTATCCAAAGGATAACAAAGTTAAATAGGATACCTACGTCAAAAAAGAAAAAACAATTAAATTTAATACAATAAACCAAAATTTAATATAAACATCAGAATTCGATGATAAATAATCCTGAATCAGATAAAAAGCATGAAATGACAAAATATTTTTTACTATTAACACAAATTTATCAAACAAATGGCTTTTTATAGGTTTAGGTGCTGCATGGCCCCTATTATATAATAGGGATTATTTACACACAGTTCAAGCCTGTGTGTATTATATTGCAAATTAAATCCAAATCTTGTAGTATAGTTATGATTAATATTTAGAAGATTAAATTGAAATAAATTGTTTTTTACAAATTTTAAAACTTCCTGTATAATCAAACATGGCACAGTTAGAATTCATTGATCAATAAAATGCGCCTTACAAAAAAGAGCTATAAAATCAATGATATAGCATTGATCTTATATTTTTTTTAATTATAAATACTTGCTGGGACTAGAAGAGTAGCCCCAACATATAATACCATATCGAATATAGGATTCAAAATTTAAATAATAATACGAATTACAAAAAACATTACAAATTAATCGAAGCTTTCTAATCGTGAAAATGTTTGTTGATATTTTTTACAAGATTTGAATCAAGATTGACACCTTAAAGCTTGAAGTTGTTAACTTATTAAATAGATTTGCCATTAAATCGAATAAGGGAACTACATTGATGTTTTATTTTCAAATAAAAAAATTGCATAATAAATGTCTTATCTTTATTCAAACACAAATTTGACAAAATTGTTAAATTTGTTTTTTTCTGATTTGTAACACTTTTGCTTGAAACCAATATAGTTACATCATCTGCAGTGATAAGTTTTTGCAACACTATTAATATCATTAAAATATAATAAAAACAGTAACGGACCAAGGACACTGCCTTGCGGCACTCCGGTTTGTACTGTGGCCTGTGACGATTTGTTTTCACCGTATAAAACAAATTGTTTTCTATTGATAAGATAACTCCTAAGAATTTTTTTGCGTTTTATTTTTTCTAATAAAACGTCATATATATATGTGATGTAAGCTCAAACATAAAGTGTTAAATGTTTTTAATTTTTTTTTAAAGAACGATAATAAAGAAATAGAACGATAATTAGACATTAATTTGGGATCTCCCTTTTTCAATAAAAACATAACTTTAGACAATTTTAATACACTTGAAAAGCCACCTTCATTAATATACACATGAATTGACAAAATGACAAACAAGGGAGCTAATTCATATGCACATTTAAAAAAAATATTGATGGGAAAATCCAAGAACCGGTATTATATTATGTATTATACGAGTATATTATATTATGTTGCCATGAATTCGTAGGTATATTTTGTCTCTTTAAAATGCAGTTGTCGGTGTTTTTTTAGGGGACTCAAATTTAAAATATTTGAATTTAAAGTTACAAGCACAAAAATTATGTTTTGTTAAATTTTTTAACAATTTCCAAACTTAAATATAAATTATATAAGTTAAAGTTATCATTAGTTAATTCTGCACCAACAAAACACAATAATTCACCATGACCACTTAGATAAAATACCCACACTAACGTAACTATATAAGCATATAAGCGTTGAGTTTCTTAATCTCTTTCTGTCCTTTGCGTCATGTTTTCTGAAAATAATGCAATATATGAATTTTTGTGTATTTATAAAGATCTTAATTTAGAACACAAAAAATATATATATATTATTTTTAGAAAATAACGAGAAATTAGCATGTCACAGACAGAAAATTAACTTTAATTATTTCTATCTAAGTCGCGTGGTGGGACTTTGATGTGTGGAGCGTAGTACAGTAAGTTAATCCCACTATAACAATGTTTTGATTGAATAAAACATACACATGCACAAAGACTAGAGACAGGGATACAAACTTTCACAAAATACGACGGGACAAAATAAAATAAAACTGCAAACTGCAAATTTGAAATTACTATTCGTTTTAAAAACGTCTAAAAATAATTAACATTATAATTATAATAATGAGCCATATGAGGAGCTGACTTGCAAAATGTATTTGCCCAAAATTTTAATTTAAATTAAGTGTTTTTCCTAGTTTTTCAGTACAGGAATATGGAAGTTGGCATCGATAACTGAATTTAAATGCATAAGATCTTAAGATTTCAACAATTGTCAATAATTAATGATCGATCTAAAACGATTTTTATCTTAGCTTACTGATGACTCATCAACTGCAGAGATACTTATCACTTTTAATCAGTGCACCGTTAACTTGTTTACTAATAAATATACTAATTCAATAAATTATAATAATGTTTCATTAAAATTCTTACTGTATCTACAGACGAATAATGTTTAATTTGTTTTTGTTTAAATTAGATAATTGGTTATATATAACACATTTGTACCGTACATTTTATTTAAACGAATTTAAATAAAGAAGTTGAAAAAATGATCAGGATAAAAAGGTTAAGACTTTGATAGCATAACAACACTAATCAACAACAAATATCATTAACAAATATTATCTCAAGGTCAAATCAAATTCACTTTTTTAAATTAGGTAAACTTACTTCTAGGAGCCTCATTTTTTTTGGTGTTTGTATTTCCTTAAAACAAATTTTCGCGATGAAAATTGCCATCATTGGAGCAGGACCTTCTGGATTATCGGCTGCCAAAAATTCCATCCAAGAAGGTCATGACGTGGACGTTTACGAACAAACCGATAGAATCGGAGGAACTTGGGTTTTTACAAAAGAAGTAGGCCTGGATAAATATGGCCTACCTATACATACTTCCATGTATGAAGGGCTAAGGTTTGTTGAATAGTTATGAAATGATTTTGGATGGTTAGTTTTTTTTTAATGTTGCCGAATGTTGGAATAATTACACAGGTCAAATTTTTTAAATATATGGGTGATTCTACAAAAGTTGGACAACTTAATGTCATCAGTCAATAGAGTAGGTATTTTAATATTTTTTGCAAATATTTTAGTATATTACAAAAGATCCAGGTTTTTTTAACTTCTCCACCCAATTTTAATGTATTTTTCAAAAGCACGTTTGTAGAAAACATAATAAATATTCAAAACATCAGTACCTTGGCATGTCACAACTCCTGAATCAAATATTTGAGTGGTTTTATTTTAAAATATATTCAATTTATCTTAAATTTTCAATTTCACTACAAACTATAAAACATTAAATAATGTATTTTTCATATTTTATCATAGATTCGAATAATAGCAATTTTTAAAAAAATTATAATCTTTGTACTCACTTTTACCCGTCAGTTCTGTGTCCAATGTTAAAATTCAAAATTCCTGCGAAATATTGAAGTTTAAACGTCAAGTTCTCGTTTTAACTCAAGTGTTGGTAAAAAATTACCTACAGAGCCCGCCCTTTGCACGACATCTTGAAAACAATGCAAGCGGCGAAGTTGTGGTGAATGCACGTATAGTTCCAGTCAAAATTTCAGTATTGTGGTGAGTAGTTATTTTCTTACGTGATATATATACATGATTTGTTGATAAGTAGCATCCACTAATAAAAAATATCAGTAAAATACTTAATTCCGAATTATAATCTCAAATTTGTATCCCATTCATCAGTACCGTGTCGTCAGTTCCATGTTCGATGTTTCGGTTATCTTTTTTTCGCAAACTTCAATTTAAATTCTGCTTGCGCAGAACTTGTTTGTTTAATGTCATTATATAAATTTGGTGTGGGTCCCATATCTAATAATTGAGATATCGGTATACCCAAAATCCACCAGCCGCCACTGATGTGTGGTATTATTTGATTTTAAGATATTTAATGTATAATATGCTCAAAGTTGCAATATATCATATTTTCCAATAAATTATGTATTTAATTAGTACCCTGGCAGAGCTGCAACAAGTCAGTTTTAAAAAGACTTAAATCTTAAGTCTTAAGTCAATTCTAAAATCAAAATGATTTAAATCTTAAGTCAATTCTAAGATAAAGTTTAAATGATTTAAGTATTAAGTCTTTGACTTAAATAATTTTCTTTCAAGTCAAGTCATTTTCGCAAAATCTTAAATCAATTAAAGTGATTTAAGTCATCTTATGATTTAATTCCTTTAGTAAGTCGTTTTTATGACTTAAGTCTATATTTTTTATTTAAATCGTGATCTAAGAGTTAAGTCAATAAAATGACTTGAATCAAAAATAGTGATTTAAATCAAAATAATTACCCTTAAGTCAATACAACGATTTTTTAAATGTTAATAATTATTGTATGGTATTAATGATACTGATATTATTAATCTATTGTAGATACAGATGATAATAAACCACTATGTTAAGAATTTAAAACGATTTATTTTGAGAACACTTACAAACAAAATAAAAACTTAAAACACATTTTTTGAGTATATAGTAGACAATCAAAATAAAAAAGAAAATGCCCTTAAAAATTTATAAAAAAATATATGAAAAATCTGACTTAAATATTTTCTAAAAAGACTTCATTCTTTTTCAAAAAGACTTAAATCTTTTTAAATTACTTAAATAATTTACCGACTTTTATAAAGACTTAAATCTTTTTTTGACTTAAATCGTTTCTATATGACTTAAATCGTATTTACTGACTTTTTTCTATTTTGAAAAAAATATTTAAGTCACAAATCATTTTGAAAATTACTTAAATTTTAAGTCTTAAGTCAGTTTTAGAGAAATGACTTATTACCAAATGACTTAAGTCATTAAAACGATTTAAATCAAAAAAACGATTTAAGTTTTCTGAGAGCTTGCAGCTCTGTACCCTGGTATACTCGTCACTTCCCTTGCATTCAAATTTAGAAAACACAGATATTTCAGAAACTGTTTGAAAAAGTGACTTCTCATAACAAAATACTGTTTAATTTTTCCGAAAACTATATAAACAAAATGAGGTCAAAAGTTGTCCAACTTTTGTAGAATCACCCATATAGGTTTTTGACGAGCTTAATCTGAATTGGAAATCATATTAGGTTTTCAAAAAATCTAAATCTAAAGTAGAAAACCCTGATGTGAATAATAACAATAAATAATGTTATTTTAGAACAAATTTACCAAAGGAGCTGATGGAATTTGAAAACTTTTCGTATCCAGAAAATAAAACATCTTTTATAACACAAGACACGGTTATAAAATATTTAGATAACTACACCAACCATTTTCAACTATCTAAACACATTAAGGTTAAAACAACAAATTATAACGTAATATTCTAGAATGTTTTTTTTTAGAAAACCTTCTTAGAGTTTTCATGATATTGTAGAATCTAGAATCTATAGTGATAATATCTAAAAGTTACTATTTTTAGTTTAATCATCATGTGATAAAAGTTGACCCTTTACCAGATGATAAATGGAATATAACATCAAAAAACTTAATAAAAAATGAATTACAACATAAAATATATGATGCTATAATTGTATGCACAGGAAATTTTTACACCCCTTTTGTTCCCAGTATAAGAGGGCAGAAAAATTTTATAGGAACATCTTTTCATAGTCATAACTACAGACATGCAGACGTCTTTAGAAATAAAAGGGTTGTTGTATTAGGAGCTGGCCCTTCTGGTACTGGTATTTCTGGATTATTAAGCGGTGTAGCAAAAGAAGTAATTATGTTGTTAATTTGGTATTTTTTTTCTTAAATAACATTTTAGGTCTATATAAGCTTCAGTGGGTCACTTCTTTGGGCCATTCCTTCGAGTGTTATAAAAAAGCCAAGGATAGCTCTAGTGAAGGAAAATAGTGTACAATTTTCTGATGGAACTGAAGCTAATGTAGATGCTATTTTATATTGCACAGGTGAGGTTTAATATTAAATTAAATTACGTTTAAAAAATAGTTTTAGGTTATACAACCACATTCCCCTTTTTGTCGAAAGAAACCGGAATAGAAGTTGATGATAATTGGGTAAAACCTTTGTACAAACATATCATTAATATCAACCATCCTACCATGGCTATAATTGGTATAACAATTAGGCAGTGTCCATTCCCTCTAAATGAGTTTCAGGTAATATTTTATTGAAAAAATTCTTAAAAATTTGTGTAATGTTTTTATTGTAGGCAAAATTTTTTCTCGCATATATCAAAGGCACCTTTCAAAAAACCAAAAATGAAATGTGGGAGGAATATAATCAAGAAATAATGGATTTAAATATGAGAGGTGTCCAAAAGAAAAACTACCATTTGCTCGGTGCTCAGCAAGGACTCTACTTGGATGTACTAGCAGATACGGCAAACATAACCCGTATTAAACCAGTGATACACAGATTGTACATGTTTCAAAAAAGTCTACCCAAGACTGTATCTTATAAAATTATCAACGAGAATGAGTTTACCTACGATGAGAATTAAAAGAAGCAGCTCGACAGATCCAAACTCGGTAGGTCCAAAAAGTGCATGACCTTAAAGCTCGCTAGTTCCAAATTGTATGCATGGCTAACTATCAATGTACAAATAAATTTTAAAAATCAAAAATATTTTTTTTTTTCGTAAAACCCCGGAATATATCTGTTTCAGTAGGCTTCAGCCATCATAATCGTGCGAAATAGTAAGATGCCCGTCAGTGCGTCGCCGTATTCAGTTTACTTTGTTTTGAGGAAGGTCAGTTAGTCAAAAATCTTGCGGGCGTCGTGTCGTGGTGCGTGTTATTGTTTTCTGTTATTTTTAAAATGGAGATAAATACCTTAGATTATATAATGACCTGTGTTAACTATCTCTCTAAAAAATAGTTTTAACAAGTTACGACGAAATATTTAAGGAAACTGCGACATAGAAACTCGAAAAACAAAAATCTACGTAAAAACTATTTCCCAATATTTTTTAATAAACAAAAAAATAAACAATTGCAAAGAACAAATTTCCCAAAAGCCATCAACAATACAATTAGATTTTATTAGTAAATATTTTTAATGGAAATTTACTTCATTTACGCAATTGTAAATCAAGTAATTGGGAACCAATTACTTTTATATCACATACAGGGTGTTAAATTTTAACACCTTAGAAGAAAATATTTGTTCTTACGATCAAAAATTATTTAATTGGTCATAACTGTGTTCTTATGCAAATAGTAACGTTATTGCAATATGTACCGGATGATTTTTTTAGCTCTGCCACTAACAGGTGCAGTAATACAATTTTACGGCCATATACATTCTCCAACGAGACTTGATCGTTAATATTGATGTCATTTCAATGGTGGTAACTTTAGTGTTTTCATTGAACCAAGTTTAAAAAGAAAATGACCGGATATTACCGGTTTATATTGATATTTACTACGAGAAGTCAATAAAACTAATTGATAAAAACCAATGTAATTTATAACTTTGATTTTTATTTAGAACTTTAACATTTCCAGAAAAAAACAAAATCCTTAGTAATAATCGATGTTTATAATTAACATTTTTTTATCTATCATTGTCAACTCAAGACCCTGCGTAAGGGTTTTGATCCTTAATTGTTGTTATGGATTTATTTATTATCAATCAAAATGTTATCGGTAAATTTTTTTCTTGTCCAAGTTTACATTAAAATTAAATTTTATATTGCAAACAAATAAGGTTGTAACCATGCTTATGAAATGTTGCATTTTGTTTTACAAAACGTTTAAAAATTGTGTATCGTAATAAAAGTTTACTATAAATAATAATGCGTTTATTTTATCAAATATTCGGGAATTATTTGATAAGTTTTAACCGGGTTAATATTTTAAACGGGTCAAAATAAAACGCACTGTTTACTTTTTTAATTTAAAAAACAATAATTAATATATTTTGAATGATACAATTTTTTTCTTCAAATTTTCATATAAACACTGTTACTACAAAAGAATGTTTACTTAGAATGGTAATTGGAATAAAGAAAATCATACCCAGTTTTCAGAAAAGGTTAATACATATTATGCCACATGGGCTGGCATAATAGGTAATAGAGGATGCAGGAAGGATTTTGATCCTTAATTGTTGCTATGGTTTTTATTTATTATTAATCAAAATGTTATTAGTCGATTTTTATCTTGTTTATGTTTACAATCAAATTAATTTTTATTTTGCAAACAAGGTTGTAACCATGGTTATGAAATGTTATGCAACTTGTACAAAACGTTTAAAAATGGTAAATCGCTATAAATGTTTACTATAAATGATAATGTACATTAATGGTGATCCCGTATAATGTCGCCCCCCTTTAACTTTTTTATTTTAAAATTTAAAAGGTAGGTACTGAAAAATACTTTTTTCCAAAACAAATTGAAAAATTGATCAGTATACAGGGAAAAACAAAAAGTTTATTTTTTGTTAATGGATCACCCTATATATGAATTTATTTTTCGATTTCTTGTAAAATTCCATACCATATACTTACCTAAATTCAACTGTTCAAGTGAAATATTTAAATTATTTTTAAGATAATAATTTGAAATAGTTTGTGTTTCTCTGTCTGAGTACCACATTTTTACTTATTTAACAAGACATATTGACATAATGTCACTATAGTAATTTATTTTCAATACAAATTTTGGTATACTTACTGATTTCTAACAGTTAAAACATTTAATGATGACATTTCGAATGCGAATATTTCAGAAACGGTTGAATTTAGGTATATGGTTTGTTATATGAATTATGCTCAGAATTTTAAAAGGAATCGAAAAATAAATTCATATATAGGGTGATCCATTGAAAATATTGATCAATTTTCCATTTTTTTATACATAGAAAAAAAGTATTTTTTAGTACCTACATAACCGCACTTCTAATTTTTTTGGGACACTTAAAATAAAAAAAGCTAAGGGGGGCGACATTATAGGGGATCACCCTGTACATTTGTTGCGACTCACCCCTGTAAAATCTTTATTTATTGTGCGATTTTAACTGGATTTGTTTTAGTGTAGATCTTGATAAACTATTTTTGAAGCAAAAAACGCCATATTTTAATAAAATACAAGGCCTACTATGTCAGTTTTTAAAAGTAATTTTTTAAGAATACATTTTAGCGATTTTTTTAAACAAAATCTAAGCACGGCACTGGAGTCACCACCCCTCAAAACGACCCTACAGTGAATATTATAATAATATATTATGCATAATCATGAAAATGGGATTTTAGACACATAACTTTTGAACTTGGGTGATAAAAAAAAATTGAGCAAAACGAATTTGTAGAACATTAAACGATCTTCAATATTGCCAATTGACTTTTTTTCTACGATTTGTAGTTTAGCCGCTAAATGTTAAAATATCATTTTTTTTAGAATTTATACGTTTCAACGTTAATAAAAAAGAAACAGTTGAATCTACAGACGACTCTGTAAGATTTTTTGTAGATAATTTAATGCTAAAAAAGGACCAGTGATTGTTTATCAAAAAAAAGTTGTACATGGTATGCATGCGAAATAAATCTTAAAAAATCAATTTTCCTTGTTAAATCAATGGGGAAATTTTAAATTCTATGATGGACCTTTTAAAATTAATATTACAGACTGGACTCTGTAAGATTTTTTGTAGATAATTTAAAGGACCAGTGATTGTTTATCAAAAAAAAAAGTTCTACATAGCAAGCAGGCGAAATAAATCTTAAAAAACTATTTTTCCATGTTAAATCCATGGGAAAACTTTAAATTCGATGATGGACCTTTTAAAATTAAATTTTGAAAGATTTTTTTTAGCATAAGTGACGAGAATTTTACATGAATTTAAAAAAATAAAAATATTGCCTTATTTTGAAACACCCTAATATACATATATGTATGTAAATAGTTTTAATCGGGTTAATAAAGCTCATTTTTTTTATACATTAAAACAATAATTAATATTTGTTTGATTTTTTAAATTCATTCAAATTGGAAAAAAATAACACGAATTTGTTACACCACTTTGAATTTAAAAATTATGAAATTTTGGCTAAAAACATGATATTTAAAGGAAAAAAGTAGGTGTGTTTGTTAAAAAAAGATGTAAAAGTTATGAACTGATTTATTAACATTTCCTTTCCTAAGAATTTCCGCTAAGTAAGTATTTAAGAAAAATACAAAATTACCAGACTTAAAAATTAAAACTCTGATGCAACATCTCGTACGATTTTTGATTTGCCGTCCAATTGGAGCATAATTTGTAAAAAACATATGAATCAGCGTGATTGATGCATCCAATAAACAGGACGTAAAAAACTGCGAAAACAATTTAAAAGGGAAGGAGAAAACAAGCAGCTGGTAACAGATAAATTAATCATAAACAATGCCCACATTTATAAAACGAAATTTGTCTAATTTCTTAAGCCAATCGATAGATAACACTCATACCGTTCACTTCGCGTAACTCGTGCGCCAGTATTTTTTCCAGTATTTCGTTGGCAAACCGAATCGAATCAAAATGCGAGTGGCAATCATTGGAGCCGGGGCTGCTGGCCTCTCTTCGGCCAGACACGCCGCCGCCACTGGCCACAAGTGCGACATCTTCGAGATGGGCGCCCAACTGGGGGGCACTTGGGTGTACACCGACGACGTCGGCACCGACAAATACGGATTTCCGGTCTATTCCGCCATGTACAAAGGATTAAGGTGAATATAAATATTTATGTTGATTTTTTAATATCTTAAATTTTTAATTAATATACCCGTTATTTATGGCGGGATTTTAAAAATTCAAACTTTTTTGGAATGGCCAGTTTAATATCTACAATTTTCGTAAAAAACACTTTTATCAAAAATGTCAACCAACAAAGATAAAAAGGTTTATTTTTTACTTGGGAATCAACTAAATTATTTAAAAAATTTCTACCAAGGTTAGGAATCGGAAATTTTAATATTTTAAACTAGACTACCGTAAACACGGGTGGCTTTAGCTCACTTTCAAACTTAATCTTAACATTTTTGTAGTTTTAACAATCATAAACATTAAATATTGTATACCAAAATTTGAGTCTTGATTTGCTCTTTCATAATAACTATGTTATAATCTTACATAGGGCTGAGTTTCAAAAATAAAAATTAAAAACTGGGTGTGCAAAGTTACCCCCTGGTTGCGGGTTACTTTGTCTCACAGTGTATTTTCCGTATAAAATTAACTCAATATTTTATTTTATTTTTATTATACATATGTTAGCAGCGACATATAGCAATTGCAAGGGATTACCGATAAAAACAATAAAAAATCGACCTGTAGTTAACCATCCTTGCAAGGATCATCATTCCAAAGAATTGCGCATAATATAGAAATTGAAACGCGTGTATTTTTAAGAGTTTTGCACTAATGCAATATACCTATACAACTTTAAAGTATAATAAATCCCATTTATTTTTTTAAAACACTGATTTTTCTGTAATATAAACTCAATAGAATCGCTCAATTGACAAGTTTAGACCAAGAAATTATAAATGTTAATTTTATCAAGCGCGAAAATTTTTAAAAGGGCTAAAGTCACCCGCGGGGTGCAAAGTCACCCGTGTTTACGGTATACATATACTTTTTTGGCAAAAAAAATTTCTGAAAAATTTTCAAAATGGCGTCGTACTGTCATTACTGTCATTTTTTAATGTGATTCATCGCTATAACCAACTATTTATTTTTTAGATACTGAACAGGATTTATCCAAAATTGTAACAAAAAAATCGCATTTAATAATCACAATTTTTAACTTTTCGAAGTTGAAATTCTAGTGTGACATTTCATTTAAAAGGTCTTTTGAAGCATGTTATATGTACTTAACTACTTATTTTTCTAATTGTATATGTGTTAATCACAAAACCCCACTTCCTATTGGAAGAAATGTAACCTTTTGACAGTAAGTCTGAGTTCTAACAGAGAAATAACGTAATATAATTTAATTTAACTTTCAAAGTAATTTAATTTAATTTACTTGCGTTCATACAAAAAGTAACGTAATTTAATAGTGTTTGAAATTAAAAACAATATAAAACTTAAAGTTTTAGATATATGGCTTACTTTGGTAATTACAATCGAAATATTTATATTATTATTAACCCTTTACACAAAATAGGTTAAATTCTCCCAAAATAGGTTAGATTAGTACGAAATAACCTTGAAATAACGTAATTTAATTTTAAAGATAAAAGTTGGCCAACATTTGACGAATTTAACCTCACTTTTCTCTAATTTATAATAAAGCTAACTTCAGCCCGTGACTAAAAGCCACTGTTGTTAACTTCAGCCCGTGACTAAAATGCCATAAAGTCACAGCTTGTCAATGAAGATAAAAATATTTATTTTCAATTTTTTGGATCAAAAGTAGGAATTCCTTATAATTTCTTTTGCTAATTAATATCTTTTACTATCTTTAATTTTGTACCTATATCAAATATCTTGGTATCAAAAACTCATTTAAGTTTTTGATTTACCCTTACCAGCTTTTTATATTACCTCATCAAAAAAAGTATTTAAAAATGTTTAATTTTAAATACCTGTATTTTTGATCACCCTGTATAAAATGGTTAATAGTTTTTTGCAAAGATTATTTTTGAACATCGTCAGACATGATTTTAGGACTAAATGTTTACAATAAAACTTAAAAAAAGTTATGTAGATCAAATAATTATAATTAAATTGGTACCTAATATTAATATTTTTAAACAAACACTATTTTTTTGTATATAATTCATTAAAAGTTTTGTAAAAAATAATTATATTTTGTATAATAAATAATAATAATAATAATAATAATAATAAATTAGTCACGGGCTGAAGTTAGCAACAGGTTTTTAGCCACGGGCCAAAGTGAGTTTTAAGTTAGTTGACAGTGGTCAAATGTCATACAGTCGTTAAAATAAAGTGCCCTTCTTGTAAAATAATATTTTGAAAATTTTTTTATTATCTTAAAAAAAAAAAAAAAAAAAGTATTAAATGGCTTGTCAACGGCAATACCTATTTGAAAAGTTTGTATTGACCTTTTAATTTTGCCGGCAGTAAACTAGATTTAACTGCTTCTATATCATCATTTAAGCGGTTGTCACTCCATTTTTAAGAGATAAATTTCGATTTACACATTTACATAATAATAATTTGTCGAAGAAAAAGTATAGTAAGCAACTCGTTTATAAACTTTTCTAAATACTCGTTAAATTTGTGACTAAAATGGCGTTTATCAAACTTCATACATAACTTTTAAACTTTTTTGTAGGATATTATTTTTATTATTTTTTTAATGAAATTTATTATTTAATTACCTATTTTAACAAAATTTGAAAAAAAACTACCTAATTATTAATTATTGTTTTTTCCTAATGATTTTATGATTTGCTTTACTATTATTATTACTATTACTATATGGTAGTATTTTTATCAAATATAATGTAAATATTATATAAAATTTAATTTTTAATATTTTAATATTCAAATTTGTTTATAATGGTTTCTTAGTATAGTAGGTACCTACCCACTAATTGACAACTTTTACTTTTAAAAAACTGAAACGATACAATTCTATATATGTTTTTAATTGGTATAGGTACATATAATTTATATATATGTGGATACCCGCTCAAATCTCAAATATTTAATTTGTGTAAATAAATATTTAAACCCAATAGATAGTCTAAAATAAAATACACAATTTTAAGCAGAAACCTTAACATCTTCTATAGCATTGACCCCCAGCCCATCGTAAAACGATTAATTGCAAAAATAACTTATTACTTGATTATGTTAACGACATTTATGGCACACGTGATTTTAAAATTATCTTAATTAGCTGACTAAAAAGTTTTGATTACATATTTGGTAAAATTACTTGGTTGTAAGACATATATAGCAAAAACATCTTTATTAAGTTTTTTTATGCAAAACCTTTTGTTTAATACAAAAAAACAATTACAAAATATCTTGTATATGTGTCATTATCTTTATTTAAAACATTTCCGTAAATTTTCCATTTTATGCAACAATTAGTTGTCGATAAACAGTTCTTAACATATTTGGTATCAACATTAAAAACTTAAAAACTTTAATTTGTAATTGAGGGCCTTATCTATACCTAATTCTATTAATTATAAAATAATTTAGCACAATTTTTTCCATGGAAGATCATTTATTTCATATAATTTGGCCTGGTTGTTATCGTATTATAAATTATATTCTAGAATGTATGCCCTGATGTTTGGGTTTAAAAATTAAGATAAACTGGTACACTTGATTAGCTTGTTAGGCGTAAACAAAGATTACATTTTATTACAGTACATTAAAATAAAATGTTTTTTTATGAATTTCAGAACAAATTTGCCAAAGGAGGTTATGGGTTTCCCAGATTTCCCAGTGCCAGAAGAAAATGCATCCTACTTGTCCCAAGCTGACGTATTGAAATTCCTTCTTCAATACGCAGACCACTTTAAACTAGAAGAAATGATTAAGGTTTGTAAAGAAATAAAACCAAAAACACTTGACCCCAACATTTTATTTCCATTATAGTTCAACACAATCGTAACCAAAGTCTCCCCGTTGGGAGAAAACCAATGGGAAATTCGGGCTGTAGATAAACCAACAAGGAAAGAATTCGTTGGTGTCTACGATGCCGTGATGGTATGCAATGGTCACTACAACGACCCCATCATACCAAAACTAAAAGGCCAGGAAAACTTCAAGGGTAAAATAGACCACAGTCACCACTTTAGATCGCCCGAGCAGTTCAAAGACAAAAGAGTTTTGGTCATTGGAGGTGGCCCATCTGGACTGGACCTGACTCTCCACATTTCCAGAGTTGCCGAGCACGTGGTGTTAAGCCACCATTCACCCGATCCAATCAACGCCACCTATCCATCCAACGTGCAACTCAAACCTGACGTTGCCTTCATCAAAAACCACGAAGAAGTCGAATTTGTAGACGGATTTTGTTGTGCCTTCGACGAAATACTCTTCTGCACCGGCTACAGATACAGTTTTCCCTTCTTGGACGAGTCCTGCGGGATTACAGTGGACGACAACCACATCCAACCCCTCTACAAACACATGATCCACATCGAAAGACCCACCATGAGCTTCATTGGCATCCCCTTCAACGTTTGCGCCTTCCAAATGTTCGATCTTCAAGCGCGATTCTTCTGCAAATACATTTCTGGATCGATGGCGCTTCCAAGCACGGAAGAGATGCGCGAGCACACCGAACAAGACATGCGATCTCGTTGGGCTAAAGGTTACACCAAAAGGCAAGCCCATATGATGGGGCCCGACCAGAAGTCCTACTACGAAGATGTAGCTGCAGATGCCAATACCACCCCAATCGCTCCTGTTATCATCAAGTTGAGAGACCAAAGTGTCAAGAGGTTGTACGCTGACATCCTTAACTTCAGGGAGGACATATACGAGATTTTAGACAATAACAACTTTGTAAAAGTAAACTGAATGTTTAACAAATTTTCTAGCCATGCTCAAACTGGCAATTCTTAGTTTATAAGAAATGTGTGTATTATAATTTATTTTTTTTATTTACTACTTACGTACTCATGTTTATTAAGGTTTTAATAAATATTATAAATATAAGGTGTTGCTTTTTTTACATGCAATCTTAATAATTATTGTAGATAAATATAAAATATAAACTTTTTATGCGAAACAAATTTGATTGTATTTGAAAAAAATGCTCTACAAAGTAAGCAGGTTTTGTAAACCAATATGTGGGAGAAATTTTGCATTCAAAGCAAAAACTTTGCAGCAAAATACATCGTCACTGGATCTCAATGAAGAATCTTTTTGTTGGGAGGAAGCCAAGCCCTTTCAAAGTATACCTGGTCCAAAACCTTTACCAATAGTTTTAAATGCTTTTAGATGGTTTTCAGGAGGAGAATTTTATGTTCTGCAACCATTTGAAATTCACCAAAACTAAGATATCAGAATATTTAATAAACAAATTGTAATGTAACAATATAGGTTAAGAATAAAATATGGACCCATAGTACATCTAAAAGGCTTACCCGTTGTACCCGAAAAACGCTTGTGTCATATTCGTTCCAAACGACATACAAATGGTAACAAAGAACATTTTATCTACTGCAGTACAAAAATTGAATCTTTTTTGCAGATGTTTAGAGCTGAGGGTCCTTGGCCAGAAAGACATATATTAAAGTCAACTATAGCTGAGGTATTGGAATGTTTTCTTCATCACGCAGACCACTTTAAACTAGAAGAAATGGTTAAGGTTTGTAAAGAAATAAAACCAAAAACAGTTAACCCCAACATTTTATTTCCATTATAATTTAACACAATCGTAACCAAAGTCTCCCAATTTGGCGAAATCCTATGGGAAGTTCGGGCTGTAGATAAACCAACAAGGAAAGAATTCGTTGGTGTCTACGATGCCGTGATGGTATGCAATGACCACTACAACGACCCCATCATACCGAAACTAAAAGGCCAGGAAAACTTCAAGGGTAAAATAGACCACAGTCACCACTTTAGATCGCCCGAGCAGTTCAAAGACAAAAGAGTTTTGGTCATTGGAGGTGGCCCATCCGGACTGGACCTGACTCTCCACATTTCCAGAGTTGCCGAGCACGTGGTGTTAAGCCACCATTCACCCGATCCAATCAACGCCACCTATCCATCCAACGTGCAACTCAAACCTGACGTTGCCTTCATCAAAAACCACGAAGAAATCGAATTTGCGGACGGATTTTGTTGTGCCTTTGACGAAATACTCTTCTGCACCGGCTACAGATACAGTTTTCCTTTCTTGGACGAATCCTGCGGGATTACAGTGGACGACAACCACATCCAACCCCTCTACAAACACATGATCCACATCGACAGACCCACCATGAGCTTCATTGGCATCCCCTTCAACGTTTGCGCCTTCCAAATGTTCGATCTTCAAGCAAGATTCTTCTGCAAATACATTTCTGGATCGATGGCGCTTCCAAGCACGGAAGAGATGCGCGAGCACACCGAACAAGACATGCGATCTCGTTGGGCAAAGGGTTACACCAAAAGGCAAGCCCATATGATGGGGCCCGACCAGAAGTCCTACTACGAAGATGTAGCTGCAGATGCCAATACCACCCCAATCGCTCCTGTTATCATCAAATTGAGAGACCAAAGCGTCAAAAGGTTGTACGCTGACATACTTAACTTCAGGGAGGACATATACGAGATTTTAGACAATAACAACTTTGTAAAAGTAAACTGAATGTTTAACAAATTTTCTAGCCATGATCAAACTGGCAATTCTTAGTTTATAAGAAATGTGTGTATTATAATTTATTTTTTGTATTTACTACTTACGTACTCATGTTTATTAAGGTTTTAATAAATATTATAAATATAAGGTGTTGCTTTTTTTAAGATAACTCAAAATATATTAAAATTAATTTGGTTGAAAAAATTATTGTAGATAAATATAAAATATAAACTTTTTATGCGAAACCAATTTGATTGTATTTGAAAAAAATGCTATACAAAGTAAGCAGGTTTTGTAAACCAATATGTGGGAGAAATTTTGCATTCAAAGCAAAAACCTTGCATCAAAATACATCGTCACTGGATCTCAATGAAGAATCTTTTTGTTGGGAGGAAGCCAAGCCCTTTCAAAGTATACCTGGTCCAAAGCCTTTACCAATAGTTTTAAATGCTTTTAGATGGTTTTCAGGAGGAGAATTTTATGTTCTGCAACCATTTGAAATTCACCAAAACTAAGATATCAGAATATTTAATAAACAAATTGTAATGTAACAATATAGGTTAAGAATAAAATATGGACCATAGTACATCTAAAAGGCTTACCCGTTGTACCCGAAAAACGCTTGTCATATTCGATCCAAACGACATACAAATGGTAACAAAGAAAATTGTATCTACTGCATTACAAAAATTGAATCTTTTGCAGATGTTTAGAGCTGAGGGTCCTTGGCCAGAAATACATATATTAGAGTCAACTATAGCTGAGGTATTGGAATTTTTTCTTCATCACGCAGACCACTTTAAACTGGAAGAAATGATTAAGTTTTGTAAAGAAATAAAACCAAAAACACTTAACCCCAACATTCTATTTCCATTATAGTTCAACACAATCGTAACCAAAGTCTCCCCGTTGGGAGAAAACCAATGGGAAGTTCGGGCTGTAGATAAACCAACAAGGAAGGAATTCGTTGGTGTCTACGATGCCGTGATGGTGTGCAATGGCCACTACAACGACCCCATCATACCGAAACTAAAAGGCCAGGAAAACTTCAAGGGTAAAATAGACCACAGTCACCACTTTAGATCGCCCGAGCAGTTCAAAGACAAAAGAGTTTTGGTCATTGGAGGTGGCCCATCCGGACTGGACCTGACTCTCCACATTTCCAGAGTTGCCGAGCACGTAGTGTTAAGCCACCATTCACCCGATCCAATCAACGCCACCTATCCATCCAACGTGCAACTCAAACCCGACGTTGCCTTCATCAAAAACCACGAAGAAGTCGAATTTGTCGACGGATGTTGCTGTGCCTTCGACGAAATACTCTTCTGCACCGGCTACAGATACAGTTTTCCCTTCTTGGACGAGTCCTGCGGGATTACAGTGGACGACAACCACATCCAACCCCTCTACAAACACATGATCCACATCGAAAGACCCACCATGAGCTTCATTGGCATCCCCTTCAACGTTTGCGCCTTCCAAATGTTCGATCTTCAAGCACGATTCTTCTGCAAATACATTTCTGGATCGATGGCGCTTCCAAGCACGGAAGAGATGCGCGAGCACACCGAACAAGACATGCGATCTCGTTGGGCTAAAGGTTACACCAAAAGGCAAGCTCATATGATGGGGCCCGACCAGAAGTCATACTACGAAGATGTAGCTGCAGATGCCAATACCACCCCAATCGCTCCTGTTATCATCAAGTTGAGAGACCAAAGCGTCAAGAGGTTGTACGCTGACATCCTTAACTTCAGGGAGGACATATACGAGATTTTAGACAATAACAACTTTGTAAAAGTAAACTGAATATTTAACAAATTTTCTAGCCATGCTCAAACTGGCAACTCTTAGTTTATAAGAAATGTGTGTATTATAATTTATTTTTTGTATTTACTACTTACGTACTCATGTTTATTAAGGTTTTAATAAATATTATAAATATAAGGTGTTGCTTTTTTTACATGCAACCTTAATAATTATTGTAGATAAATATAAAATATAAACTTTTTATGCGAAACAAATTTGATTGTATTTGAAAAAAATGCTCTACAAAGTAAGCAGGTTTTGTAAACCAATATGTGGGAGAAATTTTGCATTCAAAGCAAAAACTTTGCAGCAAAATACATCGTCACTGGATCTCAATGAAGAATCTTTTTGTTGGGAGGAAGCCAAGCCCTTTCAAAGTATACCTGGTCCAAAACCTTTACCAATAGTTTTAAATGCTTTTAGATGGTTTTCAGGAGGAGAATTTTATGATCTTGCATTTGAAATTCACCAAAACTAAGATATCAGAATATTTAATAAACAAATTGCAATGTAACAATATAGGTTAAGAACAAAATATGGACCCATAGTTCATCTAAAAGGCTTACCGTTGTACCCGAAAAACGCTTGTGTCATATTCGATCCAAACGACATACAAATGGTGACAACGAAAATTGTATCTACTGCAGTACAAAAATTGAATCTTTTTTTGCAGATGTTTAGAGCTGAGGGTCTTTGGCCGAAAGACATATATTAGAGTCAACCATATATTACAGATCTCAAATAAAAAAGGACGTATTTCAGGGTAAAATTGGAATTCTCCTGGTGTATAGTAAAAAACGTCCTCAATGTTTTAAAATTAAAAAAATATATATTTTAGAAATGGAGAATAATGGGGTCAAGCCCGTTCCCTATTGAATCCAATATTAATGGACCCAAAAAGTACCATTAAGTATGTCGGTGTAACTAACGATATTTCAGATGAACTGATTAATATTGTAAGAGTATTAGCAGAGAAAAACAAACAAATGCCCGATGATTTCTCTAAATTATTTGACTTGATTTGACTTTGGCTTGGGTAGCTTAAACATGCTAGAACATGTTAAATTGTATATGAATAGTGCTATGGAATTTTTCGAATTAATTCAAAAACTAGACTTTCAACCATCCTTGTGTAGATACTTCAACACATCTAGAATGCTAATTATTTAACCAGTTCTGCTACTTGGGTAGTTACATACCATTTTAATTTTTAATTTTTTCTTACAATCAGACAGTAAGGGTTATAACAGCAGCACTATATTTTATCGCGAAAAATCTCAAGTACAAGAACGCTTGCGCAAAGAAGCAATGGAAGTTTTGCCTTCAAGAGATACACCAGTCACTAAAGAGATCTTGAATAATGCCCCCTATGTAAAAGCAGTGATAAAAGAAACCATGAGGATAGCACCCATAGCTATTGGTGCCATAAGGAAAACAAATAAAAATTGTATTATGAGAGGGTATCAAATACCTAAAGGGTAAGTATACTAAACCCGTTACAAAATATTTTCTGTATGATTATCTTATTCTAGACTCACGTAATTTATTAGTAGCAAACTCAGAAGAATTTGTCAAAAATGCAAAGAAGTTTATTTCCTACAAAAATATGCACCCTTTCGTCAAGTTACCTTTTTCTTTTGAACCCAGGACTAGCATTTGAAAAAGGTTGGCCAATATGGAATTGGAAATTGGGCTTTTAAAGGTACACTACATAATTTAAATAAAAATAAATAACATTGTATGATCAATCTTGGTTTTCAGTTTGCATGAAATTTTAAAATGTCGTGGCCACATGAAGACATGAAGTTTGGATCCAATACTTTTTATGGAATAAAAGGTCCATTAAAATTACACAGGTCTTGAAAGCATGTAGCTTATTCTTTACCAAGCATTCAAATTTGTTTTATTTATTTTTTACCAAATTTACTCCTGATAAAAAAACAACTACGAATTGAAATTGGTCTGGAAATAATAGTAGGTAGTAGTTTATTATAAAGTAAAGAATCCTGGTTAAGCATAATTACCAATAGAGGCCTGTAGGAGCTCTTCTACCAGGTAATAATAACCTTGCACATCAAAAACTTTACTAGGTATATAGGTAATAAAAAAATACACACATTGGGTTGCCAGTCTTCTTCATCTATCTAAATAAAAAACAATATACAAAAACTTCGTATTAGTGGCAAAACATAATATTTACCTTTAAATTTCTTTTCCATAGAAACTATTACGACCATAAACAAATATCGACTACGCACAAAAAACTTACAATTTGACATTTGTTTTTATATGGTATATTAGGTATAGTCTAATATACCTATTTAGGTTTTATTATTGCAATTCATTGAGAAGATTTTTTTTTGCGATACATTGGGTATATATGCAGGGTATGCCAAAATTGGCGGGTAAAGATGAATTCCCCTTGAAATTCCAAGACGAAATTTCCTTTACCATTTTTTTTTTTGAATTCCCAAAATTGCAAGAGTATTGCGCAGTATTATCGAGTTGTACTAGGTTGCCTACCTACATTTAAATAAAAACAGGGCAGAAAATTACCTACAACTGTAATAATTACATAAAACATTTTTTCAAATTTAAAAAAAAATGTTTTATGCTAGCAATCGTTTACTTACTGTAGCACCCTTAAATAATCGGTTATTACACTGTAAGTATGCAAATATTCAAAAATATTGAGTCCCTATAGGTACTTAAACAAATTTGTAAAACTCATTTTTCTGGTCAAAAATCCGCTATTTTTTCGATAAAATCAAAAATACGGGTGTTATTCGCAAAACACGAATTCACCACATAATCCAAGATGAAGAAAAAGGAGTTGATGGTCGAAAACTTGGTACTTACCTTACGATGGTAAAAAAAGTTTTCTCCCCAATAAATTGCAATAATTCCCATAGAATCCGCTAACTTTACTAGACTAGTTTCACTGCAAGATGCCACTTTACAACCCCGTAAACTTTTAAACTTTAATTTAAACGTAAAATATTCAATCTTAACCACATGTATTTATTAGAAAATGTCATAGAACACAAGAATTTGATCCAAACATAAAATATTTTCTAAATAGCATTTGCCATGACTGCGCATGACTTGGTGATCGTATTTTGTTTAAAATTTGACATATCAAGAAATTGTTGGTGCTTCATTTAATTTTGTGAAAATATGATATTTTTGTGTATATTTATGTAATTTTTGGTGTTTTTGTGCCCTAGCGACAATATTCTGTGCCTGGGTGTGATAGAAAAACGACATACAAGGTAAAAGATGTGTTTTTAATTGTTAATAGGATTTGTCATAGTTTTTTTTGTTATAGGTAAGTTCAGTACATTAATTGTTTAATATGTGAACTGGCAACAAATTGTAAGTAAATGTTAATATTGTCACATATCTATAGATTCTCCAATTAGGTATAATAATTATTATTAAAATAAGAATCTATATTATGCAACCCATATCACAGTTAGCTGTTATCGTTGTTGTATTTATCTGCGACGTTGCGTATAATTCTTCGGTCTTGACAACACTGCGTTGTTTAAAAACATAACCTAATAAAACTAACCTCAAAATTTACTTCGAAAAATTCACTTGCACGTGTAAATTGTAAACGAGTCCACTTTTCAGTAAATGTTTTAAGTTAGTTTAACCATGGAATATTCAGTGGGAAGTCTGGCTGATTTAATATCAGGGAAAAATACTCCAAACAAACCGAAAGTTATTCAGAAGGCTTTTACACCAACCAGAGTAAGTAATGCAGAGGCTGATGAAGTTAAAGTGAAAACACCGAAAGGGAAGAAAAGTTTAACTCCAAATAAAAAGCAGAAATTAAATGCCTCCAATGATTTTATAAGCCTGGAAAGTCCCTTAAAACCCAAAAGAAAAAGTAAATCGATTGATAATTCATTTAATGTGACTGAAAATGTTGATGACAGTCCCAGTAAAAAAAAGAAAAAGAATGCATTTGAATGGGAAGATACAAAAGAAGAAAGTGCTCCAACTAAAGTTAAAAAGGAGAAAAAAGCTGTAAAAGAAGAAATTTCCCCAACTAAAGTTAAAAAGGAGAAAAAAGTAAAGAAAGAAAAAATAAAAACGGAAACAAGCGTAGACGCAGAATCACCCAAGAAGAAAAATCTTAAAAGGAAAAAAGACGATGAAGAGGCACCCGAAGAATCACCTTCGAAACCTAAAAAAACCAAAAGTGAAAAAAATGCAGGCAGGCGGGTTTTAAATAAGGAGAGACAGTTGAACAAGGAAAATCCTGAGGATCAAGCAAGGACAATTTTTGTGGGAAATATTCCATTAGACACCACTTTGGATGCCACGAAGAAAAAACTGAAGCAACACTTTAGAAAATATGGAATTATTGACAATATCAGGATTAGAGGCATTCCAGTGGCTGATCCTAAAACATCCAAAAAATTGGCTGCTATTAAGTCAGAGTTTAATCCCAATCGCAAAACTGTCTATGGATTTGTTAAGTAAGTAACATACAGTAAAATAAAGTATTTGCCAAAAATTAATAATTAAATATTATTCTTAAGGTTTAAGGTTGCTGAGGAGGCAGTTAAGGCCCAAGAAGAAAATTCAAAGGAATTCCATGGACACCATCTTAGGGTCCATATTTTAAGCTCTGAAGACAAGCCTGATGAAACCAAGGCTATTTTTATAGGAAATTTAGGGTTTGGTAAAATAATAAAGCAAAAAATTAACTAAAATTTAATTCTGATACTTTTTAGATGCCATTGAGGATGATCTATGGAAAATATTTGAACCTTGTGGAGAAATTGATAATATCCGTATTATCAGGGATGGAAGGACAGGCATGGGTAAAGGTTTTGCTTACATTAATTTCATGAACTCAGATTCAGTACAATTGGCATTGGAAATGGAAAATGTGAAACTTAAAAATAGAGAGTTGAGGATATCTTTGTGCAATTTGAACAAAGCCAAAAAGTTGAGGAAGAAAAATAAAGTTACACAGGTAAATTAACACTTTAATGAATTTTTGGATCTTACATTTATATATTTTAGATGGATGATAAACCAGACAAACCTAAAGGTAGGTTCCGAAGGTTTAAAAAAGGCAAAAAAGTGGATGGAGAGCAAAATGGGAACAAAACACCTTCAGAAAATAAACCTTTCCAAGGCTCCAAGTTTTCAGATAAAAATAAGGTGAGTAAATTTAGTTTAACTAAATTATCCAAGTGTACAACATTTTTTTCTTTGCAGAAAAAGAAGTTTAATAAGGGTGACTTACAAAAGAAAAAACTTATTAATAAAATAGCCCCTAAAGCTAAATAGATGAATATATTAAATGTTTTATTATTTTGTCAACCATAATATAAGTTAAATGTAAATTTGTTTTATTTTTTTCGGTTTTTAATTGATCCGAAATTACAACAGTAAAAAAATCCATCCACATGTAATCTGAGTTGCCTATCTTCAAATAACAACTGATAAAAAAATAACCAACCCTAATTAATCATAATTTTATTTAACTTATCTTTAACAACATCTGGAAACATCTTCATATTTTCTTTAGCACAAATAATACAATAGGTTCCTTCATAATAAAAACTGCATGAAGGGTCTTTGCACACGCATTTCTTACATTTTGTACAGTGTGCTCCCAATTGAAGCATTTCTCCTTGTTTGGGAGGCAGGAAAGGGTCTTCAACTAAGTATGTGTCTTCCAAAAGTTTATACTTTTTGACAAAGGGAGGGTCCACTCCAAAGTATTCGAATTTTTCGTGTAAACCGCATAACGCGCAGTGAAAATATTTTATGTCTACCTCGTTTTCACGTTTTTTTTCTGGTTTTTCAGTTTTAATTGACTCTTCATCTGAAATTAAATAAATAAAACACAATTTAACATTTTACAATTGTCTGTAATTTTTCAACAATATTTAAGGTAAATGTTTGGTATCGCAAATTTTTCAAATAAATGGTTAATTTTTTATGGAAAACATTTCCATTAAAATTTCAAATTGATGTCTACTTCAGTTTTCCAGAAACTTCTCAAGTTTTTTGTAATTAAGAAAGAAAAAAAAGCATAATTTTAAACAGTATGAAGTTAAAGGCTCGATATCTTTGAAACGGCTTGACTTACGCAAAATGTCAATCAGCCCTTTTTTGTAGGGCATGAAATTTCCTATAATGGGTAATTGTATCCAGCGGCGTAACTAGAAAAAGTGCCGCCCGGGGCAGCAGTGGCTGTCGCCCTCATGTTTTTTTGGGGGGGGAAGAGAAGTTAGGTTAGGAGTCAGTTTTGAGGACCCTACGCAAAATTAAAAACATACAGGGTGTCCGGGAAAAGGAGGTCAATCCGTTAACCATATATTCCTTGAGTTAAAACATTAAGACTTTCATAATACCATTTTTCAATTTAGAGCTTCATGTTCGATATACAGGGCGACAAAGTTTGAAATTTAAAACTGATTTTTTTTAATAATTCGAGTAATTAATAAGATACTAAGTTTAAATTCGGTACACTACTTCAACATAAATAGTTACATTTTTTGAGACCAACAAAACAAAAAACAATTGTCAAATAATCAAAATAGGGGGGTCCAGTACTCACTGACTCCCCCTATTTTTTAGTACGTGCGCCAATGACTTCCAAACGGTATTTTTTCAGGTAATCATTTATTGTTAAAAAAAATTTGTCTCTTATAAAATTTTGATAAAATGATTTGTTTTAGAGATAATTTGTAAAGTATGGGTCAGTCCATATCAAATCAACCAAAGGTTCTTCCCCCACCATCTCCGATTTTGATCATTTTTGGTAAATTTGTTTACCTCGCTAAAAAACTCAAAAATTCCATATATGAATTTTTTTCGATAGGTGGTTTTTGTTTTATTGATTTTTGAAAATCAAAAAATTCCGATAAATTTGGGTCTTGCAAGTACTTACAAAAATAGCGATATCTCGTAAACTATTAAAAGTAGAAAGGTGAGTGATGGCTTATTTTAAAGGCCTATTAGAGAACTTTTTTATGATATATCACATGACCCAAATTTTTTCAAAAAAAAATTAATTTTTGAAAATTTGATATGGACTGACCCATACTTCACAAATTATCTCTAAAACAAATCATTTTATCAAAATTTTATAAGAGACAAAACATTTTCAACAATAAATGATTACCTTAAAAAATTTCGTTTGGAAGTCATTGGCGCACGTACTAAAAAATAGGGGGAGTCAGTGAGTACTGGACCCCCCTATTTTGATTATTTGACAATTGTTTTTTGTTTTGTTGGTCTCAAAAAATGTAACTATTTATGTTGAAGTAGTGTACCGAATTTAAACTTAGTATCTTATCAATTACTCGAATTATTAAAAAAAATCAGTTTTTAATTTCCAACTTTGTCGCCCTGTATATCGAACATGAAGCTCTAAATTGAAAAATGCTATTATGAAAGTCTTATTGTTTTAACTTAAGGAATATATGGTTAACGGATTGACCTCCTTTTTCCGGACACCCTGTATAATTATATACAGGGTGTTTCATAATATATGCGCAGGACTTTAGGATGTGATAGCTCATCCAAAAAGATGAAAAAAGTCGCTATTAAGTTACGCTATAAAATGGACAATTTTCGAGATACAGGGTGTTAAAATTTTAGAAAAAAATTCGTTTTTTTCGAATATCTCCGGAACCGTTTATCGTACAAAAAACAGCTTTTGTAAGCATTTTCTACTCAAAATAAGCCATGTTTTGTGCTAGAAAAAAAATTGTTTTCCTCATAATTGGTGGAGATTTTGAAGGGGTAGCGGGTGTTTTTCTCCTCAACTTCTACGCCCCTGAAAAAAGTACAGTTTTGAGAGGCCCATTCGAACCGCCAATGTTTTCTACACAAAAAAGGTATTCCTGGTCATAAGCTCTAAAGTTGACCGTTTTCGAGAAAAATCAACTTTTATGTTTAAAAACATGGTCAATTTAAAAAAAAATATTTTTTTTTTACTAATTAAACAAAATTTATTTTAACGTTAGGACAAGTAACAAAACCAAACCATAATTGCAAAATAAAAAATGATTTAAAAGTTGTCTTTGCTTAATTCTCCAAACCGTAAAGGTAACGCATTTCGCACATTTCAGCATTTGTTACTTTTTCTAACGTTAAAATAAATTTTGTTTAATTAGTAATAAAAAAATTTTTCAAAAAATTGACCATGTTTTTAAACATAAAAGTTGATTTTTCTCGAAAACGGTCAACTTTAGAGCTTATGACCAAGAGTACCTTTTTTCTGTAGAAAACATTGGCGGTTCGAATGGGCCTCTCAAAACCGTACTTTTTTCAGGGGCGTTGAAGTTGAGAAGAAAAACACCCGCTACCCCTTCAAAATCTCCACCAATTATGAGGAAAAAAAATTTTTTCTGGCACAAAACATAGCTTATTATGAGTAGAAAATGCTTACAAAAGCTGGTTTTTGTACGATAAACGGTTCCAGAGATAATCTAAAAAAACGATTTTTTTCTAAGTCCTGCGCATATATTATGAAACACCCTGTATATAACATATATATAACATTAAATTGTAATATTTTAAGAATTAAAAACAAACAAAAATTCTTAGACCTAGGTAAAGAAAAACAACTATTTTTTGCTAGCTTTATTTGATTTGGAATATTTTGGGAGTAATTGTATAAATCTCAAATCTATTGGAATTTGAATTATATTATTTCGAAAGAGAATATTTAATTATCAAATATTTTTTTTATTTTTATATTCTGTCTTCCAGTTTTTTTCGCATTTTCTCTCACGATTTTTGCCGCCCCAAGAAGTGCCGCCCGGGGCGGACCGCCCCCCCCCCGCCCCCCTAGTTACGCTACTGATTGTATCTTACTTATGAAGTAGCTCATTATCACGTTACAAAATTCCAAAGTTTAAAAAAAATTCCCATGTAATTTAAATGGGAAATTACAAAACGCCACCTCTAAATATTAATATTAAGAGCTCATATTTTCACAGGGTCGTTTTCTAGATACTCTGAGGATTTTTCAATGTTCTTTGAAAAAAATAGTCGTTTATTTAGACACTAGTGTAATTTTCCAAAACAAAAGGCCATTTCATATGTTTTTAGAAAAAAAAATGTAGATAATTTATTATATAATATTTTGGCATCAAAATTGTCAAAAATATTCTTCTTTTATTAGTCTATACATTAAATTTAAAAAAAACGCAAGAAATATTTTATAAAAGTAATAATAATTGAAAGGTGTGGGAAGGACAAAAAAATATTTATCTTGTACCATCCACCCCTGTCAATTATTAAAATTATTTCTACTTTTATAAAATATTTATTGCGTTTTTTTTTATTTAATGTATAGCCCCTTGATAAAAGAAGAATATGTTTGATAATTTTGATGCCAAAATATATAATAAATTACCTAGCATTTTTTTTTATAAAAATAGTTTTGTAATTTGTCCAGTCCGCATGCCTGAAATGGCCCCAAAATTCAATTTATCCTAAAAAAAGACAATTTTCCAAGGCCTGGGAAAAAACAGGTTTTTCCCCAATTGTTTTTCGTTTTTTTTTCCGACCCTTTAAAACTCCACTACTATAGTCCATTATAATGGACCACGAAACACCCTGTATACTAAAGTATATTCAATACTTAAAAAACTGGGGGAGTGTATTTTTAACAATTTTTATTGTCAAATATTGCAAATTGACAGAAGTCAAATTTACAATGTTGTCAAATTTAAAATTTTTGCATAATGTCAAATTGGTTTGATTCTATAGAGTAATTGCATCAAAAATGAAAATCCCTAAAAATCTTTTTATTGTAATCTAGAGGTAAAAACACATTGCGAAAATATTTTTTTATATTCCAAAAGTTCAACCCGGCCCCAAAATATTAAATTGAAAAAAAGGTACTTTTCAAACGTTCCGAACTCCCGCCATATTGCATGACGTCATAAGCTTCACCAGCTGTCAGAAATCAAGATGTCAACAAATAATAAACATCGATAAAGTTTATGTTTAACATGGAAAACGCGAAACCAAAAATTGGTTGTAAATATTGTTTTGTGCCTTGTACAAATATAACCTGGAAAACTCCTGGGAAAAGGTTTATCACCGTGCCAAAAGGGAAAATAAGGATAAAGTGGATTAAAATAGGTCGGCGCGATATCAAAACATCGTCACCATTTTATTGCTCATTTTAAGGATCATTTTAATGTAAGTAAAATAAAATGTCGTTTACTAGGTATATGGTTTGAATAGGTATGTTAAATATTAATAAATTCAAGAAAATACGGCTGAGCCGTACTCTCAGTGTAGGGTCATAAACTTTGCTTTTGATAATTGAAGGGACAACTTTCCCAGGAGTTTTCCAGGTTGTATTTGTACAACAAGGCACAAAACAATATTTACAACCAATTTTTGGTTTCGCGTTTTCCATGTTAAACATAAACTTTATCGGTGTTTATTATTTGTTGACATCTTGATTTCTGACAGCTGGTGAAGCTTATGACGTCATGCAATATGGCGGGAGTTCGGAACGTTTGAAAAGTACCTTTTTTTCAATTTGATATTTTGGGGCCGGGTTGAACTTTTAGAATATAAAAAAATATTTTTGCAATGTGTTTTTACCTCTAGATTACATTAAAAAGGTTTTTAGGGATTTTCATTTTTGATGCAATTACTCTATTGTTAAAATTTCGCTGATGGCAAAATGACGGCAAACGACGAATTTGTGGACAATTTGACAACATTGTAAACTCAGGTTTTGAAAAAGGTGACAGTTTTAAGCAGTTTGTTGAATTTAACATTCTAAACATATACTGGGTGTTTTCTTTAACTTCTTCGGTGTTCCGAAAATATTAAAAGGCGTTTTTCTTGAAAACCATGCATTTTTATCGACTTTAAACAAGATACTATTTTAAGAATATTGAACCGATATTTAAAAAAATTGTAATATAAAACAAGTTTTGAATGGTAATAATTACTGTGAAACAAACGCTTGTTATATTTTCAAATTTAAACAGAATTTGGATTCAGCGCTATTAAAAACCTCCGTATGGCAAATTTCGTTGGATTTTTTCAATTTATTTGATACTCCAAAAATTAAGAAATAATTTTTGACACCCTTGTTTTTAAGAACTTGGTTTCTTAATATATCGTAGAAATTGCGTTCTTAAGTTACAATTCATAAATCCGTGACGGTAAAAATGGTCAAAATTGACCCTTCCCTGACAATATAGTCTCCTGAAGTCCCCTACCTAAAAATATTTTTTCCGATTTTTTTTGGTAATAATCTGACTATAAATGGAAGAAATAAGCCTCCACAAGCGTCAAAAGATTTATGGACAGCCCTTGGCATATTATATATATTTATTTTTTTCATAATATATAAAAAATATGGTGTTTTTCTAAAATAAAAAACCGCAATAGGAAACAATTACCATATTTAAATAAATTAATATCTACAAAATCACGTTTTATTTAATTTCTTCTTATTGTCAGGATTTTTGCAAGCTCATTTTCTCCTTGGAAACTTCCACAGGCCACCATGAAGGTCTCAAAACTTTGGCAACTCCATCTCCAACCTTAATTTCTCCATAATTTAAAGCCTTACTTATCCTGAGCAAAGCTAATCCGACGTTTCCGTGTAAACCCCTGAATTTCCCAAGGTTGTCGTTTTCGTGTACAATCGTTGGTTCATCAGGTATTTTACTAGGAACTGTGGTGAAATGTAGCGGCATCAATCTTTTACGTATAACGCCCGTGTGGTAAGTTCTAGCTGTAAGTTCTTGCCCAATGTAGCAACCTTTATGAAAGCTCACGCCATGCAAATAATCGCAATTAGCTTCCAAAGGAAAACAGTTTCCTGTGGGTAAATCACTTGTGCCTTCACCGACTCCCAAGTTATACCTAAACCATCTATAATCTTTACTGGAATCGTCAACTTCGACCAAATCCTTTATTTGTTCTTTTACATCTACATCGATTTTTGATATAACTCTGGATCCCAATAGGTTTATTCTAGGATCTCTAAAAATTGACAAATCCCTATGAAATTTACTGGATGTTGATGGCAAAGTAGCATTCAACTTATCGCAAGGAACAACCAACTCACTATTTACATTATAAGTTAAACTTGAACCCACATTGGCATTATTAACATTAAATAAAGCATGTATTTTATACTCCTTTTGTAGACCTATAATATCGATTTTCCTTCTAACCCTGTACAACTTTAGCTGCCTTTGTAAGGCCTCCACACCATCTAAATCGCACTCAATAAGATAAGAATTATCTTCCTCAGTCCGATATATGATGGAGTCATGAGTTACCCGTCCTTTTGTGTTGAGAAACATCGTATACATACTCCCTGGTCCATTTTCTAGGTGTTTTATGTCGTTTGTTATCAAGCCTTGCAAAAATTCCGATACTTCGGCACCCACAACTCGTATTAAACATCTTTCTTTTAAGTGTTCCAATACATATTTCGCAGATGAAGTGGTATATGATCTTTTAGATGATTGTTTAAGAAAGTTTCTTGTGGTGTTTAGCATTGTAATAAATTAATCTGTAAATATTTACAATGTATAATTATTGGGAAAGATTAAAAATTACCTTTTTCTGTAGACATAACAAATGTTTCTTTGGTCTTCAAATTTTGAGGTTAATTTGACGTTTATGGACGATGACCAATCACAGAAATAGATTTCTGTGGAAATTAATAACATGACAAATTTTAGTTGGCGTAGAAATTGAAAGGTGGCGCCAGTTGTGTCACAAATTAACTTTGAATAAAAAAAGGTTTTTTGTTTAAAGCAAATTATTTATGTATCAAGGCAGTTAAGTCGTATTTTTTATCACGAATGTGTAAATTATTTGCAGAGGCGAAAGCCGAAGCAAATAACCACGTGAGTGCTAAAAAATGACTTTAAAGCCGAAATCACATTTAATAATACTAATAATTAATTGATGATCAAATTAAATCAAGTGCCTACGTAGGTATACTGTTTGTTGCGACGGTTATGATATATTTGCCCGCCGCGGCGATTTTTTAATATAATTTATAAAATTAACTTATTATTTTTATTAAACAACATTTTATGAAAGGGTCCAATCGACCTCCGCGACGGTGCTTTTTTTTAAATAATATTTAGTTGCTGCTGAGTAGCAGTAGTCACATCTTAAAATGTATAATGGGTTGCATACAATACTCGTATTAAATCGGCAGTAAAGTTCTACTTTACTGCCGATTTCTTTTACTTTACTGCCGATTGTTGACTACTTTACTGCCGATTTCGGATAAAATATTTTTTAATCATGTATTGTGAAATGATAATAAAATTTGGACGTCGGTAATAGGGATTTTCTATTTAATATTTAAATAACATTGAAACAAATTCCAACTTTAAATTTAATTTTAAAATTAGGTATATAACTCGATAAAGGATCAAAATTATCAAAACAGATGTTTTGGTTATTTTTAAACGCGCTGTAAAATCCATAATTTTATGGTTAAGGGGCCGTCCATAAATGATGTCACACACTTAGGGGGAGGGGGAAATGTGACAGTTTGTGACAGCCCGGGGAGGGGGGTAAGCAGGCTGTGATGTCAAAAAATTAAAAACATATTTTAGTATTTTTTATATTAATAAAATGCAAATATTTAAAAGTTAATTGCATAATATTTATTGCTGATGTCAGTGTGATGTTTTTCAAGTGTGTGAAATGTTAAAAAATTAAATTCATTAATTTTTGATTGTCCATTTTTAAAAAGGTATTTATATACCTATTTATAATCTATTTTAAATCATAGCTCCTTGCTTTTTATATGTTTACATTGCAACAAATTTTGGTCTATCTAGTTTTTGTCTATTCTTTACCATCTTCAGGCAAAATTGTCGAAGTTAAAATATGGGTTAAAATTAATAAATAACATAAATTGTATAGATAAACAAACAATGCAATAAACAATTAGTTTAAAACAAATAAATAATTTTTAATAATAGGTAAGCTTGATTTATAGATTGCCTTCCTTCCTTCCTTCCCACCGTAAAAGATGAACAATACAAAAACCGTTGTGATGTTTATAGATTCCCGTACGGGGTTTTCTATAAAAATGTTTTGTTGATTTTAGTCCATTGATCAATTTACGAGTTGAATAATTCCAAAATTTAAAAAATCCCATGTTATTTACATGTAAATAAAAAATAGAAAATCGCGATGAGTGACCTCTTCATAATAATAACAGGCTCCTAAGACTATTGAAATAAAAAACATATTGTTTTTTTAAGAAGTGTAATATTTACTGTTATATTAGTAATAATAATTTTTTACTATTTTACATTTGAATTTCGCGCATTGGCAATACTGGTGATAAAGTTGGTAGCAATTAAATAAGAAAATCATGTCCTATTTTTTTTATTTTATTTTTTGACCTGAAAATGTTTTGTTTTTGTATGTTAATAAAAGTAATAACATAATATAATATATTATACTATAATAATAATAAAGATAATGAAAGTAATGCCTTTATGCAATTATTTATTTTTATTTATGTTTGTTATGTGGGTCATTCCCAATTTTTTTTATTATAACTGTATGTCAGTGCATTAATTTAAAAAACTTGTTTATTTTTCAGATGTAAAAATTTAAAATAATAATTATTGTTTAAATATTAAACTTTAAACAAAAAAACTATTAAATTTTAAGCACCCTAAATATTGAAATAAATATTAATTCATTTAAAAAAATATATAAATTTTATATGCCTAATAGGCAAAATGGCCAATAATAAACATAACTGCTACAAAAAATCCTAAAAATGTAATTGATTAACAAATATAATAGCAATACATCTCACCGCCGCTTACGCACGCTCGCTTACTATAAATACCGTTACACTGTTTAAAATATCTGTGGTGTAAAAAGTAATCTTAAAATGGTGTCAAAATCCAACACCAAGTGGTGTTAATATAACACCATGAATTATGGTTGAAAATGTTATACACAGCAAACACCAAAACGGTGTTTATCTTAAAATATTTGAGAAGTGCACCTAGGTGCCACCTACACAGAAAAAACGGAATAGTTCATTTAACTATATTAATTTAGTTGACCCATAAGTATTTATTTTTGTATTTTTTGTATTTTTATCAACTGTGGGAAGGTTAATATAAACAAGATTAGTCTGACGGTACTAAACCAGATAGGTAGTTATTTTTTTTTTTAAATTGGTTATATTAACCCAGAAAACTTTAGTGAAACCAACCCGCTGTATGGTTCACTTTACTAAATACGTTGTTGGTAAAATAAGAGTTTCTTCAACCTAAAGCACTCTGTTAAAACGATTAAAACAATTTGCGGTGCATTCCCGGTTGCATAGTGTGTACCGATCGCGGCAAAGGCGGTGTGGATCACGTGATGTTCTTAAATCTCGCCTCTGTTGACACATGAAGAATATATAAGCTCAGGTAGTCCTTTTCTTTGGTGTGACACTACAAGTTGTTCGATACTAAAGAGACCTTAAATTGGTGGAAACAGCTGTCAAGTATTTTAAGTTAGTGGAACGCACTAAAAACATTATCTCTAGCGAGTTGAAGGTTCCATTTTCTGGAATAATACCACTGGTAATATATTATGTAATGCGTCAAGGAACTTCCTGTTTCCTGTTTTTTCCTTTTTTCTGTGTAGTATGATTTAATTTGACCACAAACACATAATATTTAACACTGAAAAGGAGTTCAATTTACACCAGGTAAAATTTATTTTAATACTGTGTGAAAGTTGAATTAACACCATTTTAGTATTTAAATTTACACCGGACCAACGAACCATATTTAACACCATTTTGGTTTGTATCGATATAGACCATGTATGGTGTTAATTTGGTGTTAAAATGGTCATGAAATTTTGAACAGTGTAGGCTACAAATATTTAATTGAAGTTGTGCGTCTACAATACATACCTAAAGTTTTGTTAGCTCCATAGGATTACTGTTCTGTTAATAAATAATTAAGTTTATATTTTTGGAGTTGTTTATTTTCGAAAGATGGCGCATAATTTTTAATAAACTACGCTGTTGACATTGCCGAATGAATATTTCATTTTAAGATACATAATTAATTTTGTTGTGCGAGAGACGTTCTTATAAGTTTCCCATTTTAAAGTTGCTCCCATCCAAAAGCCGTGCCAAAGGGTTGAGATGACGCTGAGCAAACAACAAGACGAATCTCAAGCGCTTCCTTAATTAATAAACTTCTGCTAATGAAAGAAATAATTAATTTCTGCCTACCACTGTTCCGCGCCGCGCCATTTTCAACAAAATATCAAACTTTGCGTACGTCCTCCCCTACTTTTGATCTACTTTGCACGAAAATACTTAAACTTGCCTTAAGAACGCCATTTAAAATATATTCCACCCTTTCTTTGCTCAAATTTTCTTTATTGAACATACATATATGCATGCCTCTGCAACGCAGCAAGAAGCTTTTCATATTTTACCAGAGTTTTTTAATAAACTCAACAATTAAAGTCGATATATTTAAATTAAAAAATTTCATTAAACAATACAACAACACTAATACAACAAAACAAATAATTAATTGCTAATAACAAGTAATGAAGGCGGTACGAGATATTCTGCTTTACTAAAAGGTTAAAAATTAAATACTGCAAATACTTACCGAGTAAATGCCGTGACGAAATATAGCCTTCAAAAATACACGCTGCTTGTTTGTAACGCGCAAAATAACAATAGCGTTACCATTGCCTGAGCGGCGCCATCTCTTGCCACAGTTATAAACAACATGGGTTACCTACAGACTTCTTTTATTTGTAATGCTAAACTTAATAATGCTATGCTATGCTTCAGTGTATTTATAACAAAGCTGTTTTTATTTAGGCGGTTTTTGTCAAAGTGACATTAAAAATAAGGACAAGGTTTGGTCATGCTTAAAAAATTATTTACAGACATTTTATCACATTCTTTATTAGTACTGAGCAGCTCCTTATTTGTTATTTCATTTTAGTTTTGGAATAATAACTTTAAACTTTAAAATTGGTTTTATATTTGGTTTGTTTTCAAAAAACACCCGCCTTCCGCTGTCCGTAAGTTTGAATTCCAATAACTTTGTTAAAAATGATCTGATCTTATTGATTTAACAACCAAGTGAAAGCCTAACAAGCCCTTAGTAAACTCTTTCAGAATAATTTTTTTTTTAATTTTGAAACTTGTGAAACACACATTTTCTCATGTCCCATTAGCGTTTTATAAAACTTACATACATGTTTTTTTTTAATATTGAATAACCAGAACTTTGTGTTGCTTTATAGCAATCCATAACATCCTTGGTTAATACAGTAAACAATTTATATATAAAATAATTAATTTTAATCTACTTTTTTTAAATTTGACTCATGTCCCAGACATTTTTTCCGTCGCGTTACCGATGGAAAATTAAAAAAAACATATATATGGCATCTTTTTTGGCACTCACCCCAGGCAACACAGTGACGTGAATATCACGTTTAATTTACGTCTACGGTGACGTCGAAG